AKAWAAAMAAAAWAAAAAAAAAGAATATAATAGCMTTGCGACAGAAGTTGATATCATCACTTGAGTAATTTCATCMATTTAATCCACATTTTATAATGAACAATTCAAGTTCCATTTCATAAGCCGTGTTCACACGTCGCATCTCACATGTATTAGCAAAACGCATGGATTAAATATACATGAAATACGAAGCAAGAGACTTTTAGATTCGACTTAAACGAGTCAAAACACACGACTTCATGCATTACAATATAAACTAAAGATTCAAATTGTTTTAAGATATAGCTTATGCGCCGAATGTAAAAAAAGACAAAATATGTGAAAACGACATGTATGCAATGGAACTTGAATTGTTCATTAAAAAGTGGATTAAATGGATGAAATTACTTGGGTGATGATATCAACTCTTGTCACAATGCAATAATATTCTTTTGTTATTATTTATCTTCGTCTTGAAATCACTGATTACGAGATACTGAAAGCTATTTAAGTCTAAATGTTATATTCCACAATCTAAAACACATAACGGCTTTCCGATTGTAACGTAAATAACTAAATAAGTAAGTAACGTAAGTAACTAAATAACGGTAGCGATTTTTTCTACAAGTTTACAAGTTTCTACAAGTTTACAAGTTTAATTCAATAAATAATAATAATTTACACATTTTTTACACATAGTTTTTTTTTTGTATATAATAGAATTATATAAGTATTTCGTCTCGTACAAATTCAAACAACTTTATGTTCCTTCGTGATGATATGAAAACATATGAAAACATAATGAAAAAACGTTAGAAACACTTACCGTTAACGTTTTGCATTGCAAGAATAACCAAGACAACGGCATATTTTGTTAAGGACTTCGAGAGCGCCATAGTTGTTGATCATATGTGATGAAGCTCCTGTGGCTTCTGCTATGTTATTGCAAACGCTTGAACTGAACTCAACTATGTAAATCGTTATTGAACATCACATATCACACGATCACAATTCATGCGTTACCAAAKGTCATGCGTCAATACAAGGATGGAAGCTTAGCTTTTACGTGCGATTCAACACACAAATTGAACTTGAAGGCACACATAAAACCTTAAATATCTTAAATATAGCAAATCAAAATTTATCTTTAGCATTTGGCACGTATTATCTGTTGAACAAGAATCATAAAGTTAGTGATATATGACATTACAGCTTAACTTCCTGTTTGATCGCTGACAGCTAGATTTGCTGAGTAATGCGGAATTTTTTTTCGCGTCGAATTTTGCATATTTATCATTAAGAAGGTCAATGCCGGATCCCGGAGGGGYTAGATTAGGCTTGGTAGGCACTCCCTTTTAAGTTTTCCACAACATAGTTTTACTTGTCATGACGAAAGACTGAGCTATTTACTTCACAAACAGCAGCCTAAACAATGTACTTGATAGTATAGAACACTTTATGTTTGCAACATGAGGTATATACCAGTGTGTGGCATCATTATYTTATTGCTTATTTTCTTTCTTTTCGTCCTCCCTTAGCGCTACGTATCAACTTCAAGCGAAAGCGCGAGAGCAAGTGTTCGTGCGTATAGTTTCTATTAAATTGCTCAATATCGGCTTACATCATGTAAGAATCAGTTCAAGGAAAAGGAGCCAGGCTAGTTTTCTCTAAAAGGAATTGAAACCCTTTACTTCAAGGGTGAATTTTTACTGTTTTTGGACCGACTGTGCCATTGCAAAATCTCAAACAATTATGCGAATTATGCTAGACACTTTCAATGGCGGAATCTTAATTAAAAAAATCTAAGGGTTGGGGATGACTGATATCATATATTTATGATATGGAAACAGTTTGAAATTTTCKAGTGTGCATCTGTTCCAKKAGTAAGTTCCATCAATTTTTAGTTCAATTCCAATCCTTAATGAAGCTGTATGTTGTGGAAAATATCGGCGACCATATTGGAGGAATKAACAATAGATGCCAATGAGAGATCCTTTGTTGAAGTTCCTCCAAGWTGGCCGCTGTGAAGTAACGTGAGAACGAAGAAATGTGATGGAGTTYATTTTTTATTCATTAACTTTCAAAATTCGTGCCCAGTCTTTCGTTCATTCCTGCAGCATTCAAATATTAGACATTTGYAGAATTTACGTCATACATCATKTACGCAATGCATTGCTGGATATGTTTAGGACGAAACATGGCGGATTCCTTTGGTTTTMCCCACAATGCACTGCAAATCATTAAATATGGAAAAAAGCTTCAGAAGACTCCAAATTTACTAAGATTATACAGAACAATAATTAAAAAGCAAGATAAAAAATTTCTTACTATGCAAATGAGTAATATATCCATGTAATTTTCAACATATCAAAGAATTGTATGTCATTCGTGCGGGTTCCCTGTGCTCTTTAGTTTTGGGCTTCCTTTAGCGAATCCAAGCCATATATGGAAACAAATAAAATGGCCGATTGTTGAAAAGTGTTTTCGGTATAATATCTGCAAGTTTCAGACGATTTCAAGCTTTAAAAGTCGAGAAAATCGACAAAAACCATTCCTATCGTACTTCCAAATAAGGTAAGATTACCATATATGGCTGCTGAACGAAGGACAACTTTTGTGGGGCAATTCTTTGATATGTTGACAGTATTTTTACTATAYTTTTTACAGCAACAATACCAACAACAAGGGTGTCCAAATATAAATATAAATATTTAACAAATTGCGCACGGTTTTGAGTTGTATGTCCTTTTATTGGTACACTCTTGACGTCATAAGTGGACCCACGACAAGCAAATGGGTTCATTGCAAAGTATTGAACATTTTATGACGTCAAGTAGTGTGTCATTGAGAGGACATGCAACGAAAAACCCAGTGCAGTTTGTTTTTACCACATTTTTTTGTCTAAAAATTAGAAATCATACTGTTCTTTCAATTGATCGCGTGCGAGACGTGATGGTGTTAGCATAGTGTGCATGTCCTCTTATTGACACACTCTTATCAGCCAATCATCGCGCGAGATTTTACACAAGTGTGRTAAAAAAATACATACACTCGTCTGCAAAGARCTAAGACCCTTTTGATGTATTGGTTGTCTGAAACGCACCTTTTCGCTGGCGAAATATGGCCGCCAATACAAAGACTCCTTTTGTGATTTAATCTCATATATAAATGTTAAAATCAGTTATCTTGCAAACGTATCTTTCTTGCTAAGAATTATTATTGATTTGTGCAGTGTTTATGTACGACAAATCGCACGAGCTATATATGCTTTGGTGCTWTTTTCCCATTATTGGATTAATCCTTCCGGCCACATTTTTTCGTTTTCTGTTCTTCTTYTTTTCTTTCAAAGTCGTTATCCCTCTTCTTATAACTCTTCTTCAATCTTTGTTCTTCTGCTATGCCTCTTAACAACTCGCCTATGTCTCCTGAGTTTTCTCGCTTTCGTCTTCCTTAAATTATGGGTTGCTATCTTAGCTAGTGGTGGAGTCATTTAAAATATTTTAATCTAGTTTTACTGAAGGGTTTGTCATATCAGACCTTCCGTTTTCACAAATGCAGGATTGACTTGACCTTCACTGCCCTCGGATAAGCTGTAGGAGCCCTGAAATACAACAAACTAGAGATGGAGGAAGAATGCGAAAAGGACGGCGGAGAAAAAAAA